ATATGTGAACTAAGCCATGAATTCAGTTGTATTATTAATATAGATTGGAAGCCCAGTTTAACATTACTCCTCAGGGGTTAAGATGTTAAACTGTTGTCATTAGTAGATGACAAATACTCTGACAGGTTAGAGTTGGCCAATATGCCATCTGTTCTAAATGGTGTTTTGGCGGGAAAGATACTCGCGTCATCCATTCTTGAACAAAYGCGTCAAATAAAATAATATTGCTAGTAACCTTACTCTTGCTCAGTTTCCTCAATATAATGTAATGGAAGGGGAACTACACTGTAAAATCAAACCGGAATGGCTAACAAATTTGCACGGAAGTTTACCTTGAATGTCGGCCATAAGCGCCTTAGCTGATTTTGAACGCATCGCTTCATCRTATAAGTGCTTGTTGTCCTCAAAGTCTACGAGGAAGATATCACACAATAGATCATCACTTGGGCAGAGATTGATAAGGTGGTTTCTGAACATGTCCAAAGCCTCATCAAACTGGTTACTTTCTGCAACGACTTTTCCAATTCTTTTTAGATATCTGCAGTGCTWGAAAAACGCATTCTTTCTGTCCAGGCAAAGTTCAAGTTGACTTTCAATATATTTTGTTTGAAACTAATTAAATGGTATTTCGACTATGCATCTGATTTGGCGTAAAATATCTCCATCTGTACTGCGAACGTAKTGTCCATACCCGAGCTACAATAATACGTTCTTGATACCAATAGACACGGAACTGTCTCAGTCAATATCATTCGCGGTGCAAGTTGATTGTTTGACCCGTCCGTCCACTGACCAGGGACGAGGTGTTTGTTGTGTTTCGAGCAGACTAATGGAATTTCTGAATTTCTGATCCCATATTATTATTGCAGGCAATGTGTATGCTACTGGATCAGGATCTTCGTTTAAGCTTTGCCTTGGTGGAGTTATGATCTCCCCGAGTTTAGGAGAGGAACTTTGAGTTCCCTGCGATTCTTCAATTATTCGCTGGATGTAGTCTTTCCACTCCTCCGATATCTTAACTTGCGCACTTAGGGAAAATAAAGACACCAAAAACAACCAAAATAAGATATTAATATAATATAGACATAATACATCAGAAAGTTTAACAAACAACTCTAGCAATGAATCAGAGGACGAAATGGAGTTCGGAGAAATCGGGCCTTATCAGAACGGGCCATTAGCTTCTGATGAAGACTCTGCTATACACGACGCTGACGACGAACCAGCTGATAATGATGGTCTTACTCCRAGCACACTTGAACAACGTTTTGAAAAAAGGGTTCAACTTAGTGATTGGTAAGTTTATTAAGTTACATCTAAGATTGATAGGTGTTTTAGCTCTAATGACGATAAATGCTTTCAGGTGTCGCTGTGAAAAGTGTAGTGTTGAAGAACTGGCTAGTGCTCTTGAATACCGGTGCTGTACTGAAGTGAATCAAGCTGCAGGGATGATGGTCTTCGACGGATCTGCTGATAAGATAAAGTGTATTACGGACCATGAGGACTACGCTGCGCTAACAAATACTGCTGTCCTGACACAAGTCGCTCCGCTACTAAGAGGAAGAGAAGGCCAAGTTTATCGAAGAAAAAATGGCTCGTCGCAAAATGAGTAAGAGTGATATTGTATTATCAGCTGTGTCCGAAATAACTCTATTATGAAAATTTCTTTGATTTTTTATGTTTCCTATTTATCACGAAGTTAACCTTCTCTATGGCTATAAAAAGCCTCGTAACGMAGTATTAAAGACATTTATGTGGTATATTTCGAACAGCAATACAGCGTACATATAAGCTGATTGTATTATTGAGAAAAAGTTTGCACAATGAAGTTTTTGACTCAAGATTGTTACATTACACCGAGTATAATRTTTATCTCTTCTTTACTACTAGGTTACTAYGAGCAGTTGCATACCGTTGGGTTATGCGGATACATGGGATGGGACAATTGCAGACCATTGCCAGCGTGTATATATAATCAAATTAGGAAAAAATTCCCAACTCGTAGGGCAATAGGGTATTCAACAACACAAGAGAGGGAATAGTGTAGTAAAACTATGGCTAAGGCATCTGACTTTATTTGCAAAAAGGAACTTCTTTTGTTACGTTTTTTGACTTGTATATGATTCAATATTGTTTTAGTATAAATATAAATAATAAGTATAAAAACTGAACTGTCATAATTTGTATAATACAAGCATATTTGTAAATAATTATCTGGACAGAATTTTATAAATACATATTGACTTAAATCTAATATACAAGAGTGCAATGTTACTGGTCAGGAGTATAAGTATTTTATTGTTTTCTTGGTCTTCTTGGTTGTTTTTGTCGTCCTGAACATAGATTCCTTTTATGTCCAAGCATGGGCTTTTCACATTCTTTACACTGCGGTGGTCTTCTTGTGGATGAAGTTACTGGAGGTGGTGCCTTAGCGTGCTGCTCTACTACGAAAATCACCGAACTGTGGAATAGGCCCGAATTTTTGTATTACAACCACGCCTACTTTCGTTGATAAATTCCATAAATTCTTTTGGCGCGACACATGCTACTCACGGTCAGTTACAATGGCGGAGATGAGCAAAGCTGGTCGTGTTTACCAGCGAGGAAAACCTACAGGTCAGGATTTAAGACAAAAAGTCATTCAAGACATTGTAGAACGTGGAGGGGACTTCGTCACTGGTTTCTTCGATGGAAATTTTAACGAGATAGCGAGAATAAACCGCACAAAATACGATACGGTAAAAAAAATCTGGAAATCATTTTGCGAAACTGGTAATGTTAACTTCCAAAGCAGCGCGAGTGGTTCAAAAAAACTTCAGCAAGATGACATTGACTTCATAAGATTTCTAAAAACGTCCCGCCCATCCATGAGTACTGGTGAAGTCTATAGACACTTGAATGAATTTGGTAACGTAGTGGGAGGAACAAGTTACGCGGGAATTCAACGAGCACTAAAATATCAAATGAATGATGGTGAATGGACATGGAAAAGACTAACTCAGCCTGTCGCTGAAAAGTTTAGCGCTCAAAACTTGGTATACTGTCAAGAATTTGTGAACTATATCTACACCCTTAACCCTCATAGACTAAAGTTCTTCGATGAATCAGGAATAAAGCTACCCGATGTCGGAAGACCAAATTATGGACACTCACTTGTTGGGACTCCAGCCGTTGAAATATTTAGATACATGAATTCACCAAATATTACGTTGAACTTAATGTGCAGCTTGGATGGTATTGTTTACGCAAACACAGTGTGCGGTGCAAGCAATCATATGACATTTCTTAACTTCTTTGAGGAATCTATGAACGTATTTCTTCAAGATGGAAGACCGCCTTACACTTACGGCGATCATATAATCATGGACAACGCGGCGATACATCATCATCGAGCTGGACAAGCTCTAGGGGAATGCTTAGATGATATAGGATGTGTCTACCGACTTATTCACCCGAATTCAACCCTTGTGAAAACGTTTTTAATAAGCTAAAAACAATCCTTAAGCGATTTGAATACCGAGAACTATTGCGTGAAAATCTTCACGTGGCAGTCCACCGAGCACTACAAGAAATCACACCAAATGATGTACGAGGATTTTTTAATTTCACAGGATATATCAATATGTAACTCAACTTATCATTGTGAAGCTATAACAATGCCMGTTTTCAGTTTTTAAATAAAGTCACAACTTAGTATCCAGTTAGAAAAAAACGGCGCCTGTAACAACGTASACATTGAAATTTTAATAAATAACAAAAAGTTGTATAATAATTGGTTACAAGGTATTTGATAATCACGGCTATGAATTCAATTGAATTCTAGAATTATRTGCCAAAATGATCTAAATTCTCTTTTAAAAGAATAAACAGARGTCTTTTGAGTATTAATAACACAAYGAATTCAGCATGCTCTTAAACAACAATAATAATAGCAGAACTGTCAAGAAATGTTATCTGCATAAACAATACAAGTTTCTATAACTGTAAACAGAAGTATCACTAAWCTTATACTTGTAAAGTTTAGTCACTCATTAACTGTGCCGCCGTAAACAAAAGCGACAGTCCGTAATCAGCATCGCCGCCATCGCCGGGCGATTCTTGTTCAGTTTCAATCGTGGTTGCTGTCATTGAATTCAAACTTAGCTGTACGCCCATTTCAAATGGTTCTTTTTCTTCCTCAATACTGTTAGGAGTTATACTGTTAGGAATTATTCCTTTCCCCGGAAACTTTATTCCTTTTTGTTCCCATAGTTTGACAACTGGATTTACATTCTTACTTGACACCGTGACAGAATTCTCAGCACTTCTGGTTTCGTGCATATTATCAAATCCTGAATCAAATTTCGCTATTAATTTCTGGATTTCAGAAACATCGGGGACCTTTCCCATGCAAAGTTTTTCCAGTTTCCTAATATCTGTGTTTACTACCAACCAGTTCGGCACGAAATCTCCTGTGAGAGTTTTTCTTAGATATTTATCTGGGTTACTGTTAATTAGTTTTGTCTGAACTTTAGCGGCGAACGTGTTAARAGAAGAAGCATAGGCTTGTTYTTTCGATGTGATATCCTCCTCTAGTTGTTTTGATTTTCCTTTCAAAGCTTTTAATTCAGATTGTACTTTTTTTAGGTATTTATCTTCGTCCGGATGTCTTTTTATTTCTTTGCAGAATGTAGCAGAAGTACAGGGTNGACGTAGTAACCTACTATACTGATTCTCAAGTAGTACTTGGCTATATCTTAAATGAGAAAAAGCGGTTCTACGTATACGTCGCCAATAGGGTACAAATAATCCGAAGTCTGACGCTACCCGACCAATGGAGGCACATAGAAAGCGAGAGAAATCCGGCAGACATCGGCACAAGGGGAATCTCCGCCAGAAAGCTTCAGAAATCCCTATGGGTCACTGGTCCAGGCTTTCTAAAGGACGGCGAGGAGCTAGCCAAGCCAAGCAAGATAAGTAACATCGACGACGATCCTGAGGTACGGAGAGAAATAACGACAATGAAAACAGTGTCAAGCAACAAAAAATCTCTAGGCGCAAAACGTTTAGAGAGATTTTCTTCCTTTGCTGCCTTGCAACGAGGTATCGCAACACTCATATCTTGGGTCAAGAGGTATAAGACGCGTCAAAATTCTTCATCGTCACGCAATCATCGTCCAACCTTGGAGGAGCTCAACGCAGCTACGAACCTAATAATCAGGGAGGTGCAATTGGACGCAAACCTTAACACCAATACTGACAACACACAAGATACCGACAAGATGCAGAAGACCGACATTGATGGTCTTAACCCCTTCATAGATGTTGACAGAATACTGCGTGTCGGAGGACGCCTACGGAGATCCTCACTCAACACTCAGGAGAAGCACCCAGYCATACTACCGAAGGACAAACATCTATCCACCCTCATCGTGGAACATTTTCATAAGAAAGTCCATCACCAAGGGCGGCAAATCACCCATGCGGCCGTACGACAAGGAGGCTACTGGGTAATTGGAGGACACCGGCTCGTTTCGAAGGTACTGCATAACTGCATCGTGTGTAGGAGGGCAAGAGGCACCAACCTTTGTCAACGTATGGCGTATCTACCACCAGACAGACTGGAAGGTGTACCATCGTTCACTAACGTGGGGGTCGACGTCTTCGGCCCCTGGAGCGTTGTCACTAGGAAAACGAGAGGTGGAGCCGCGAATTCCAAGCGCTGGGGCCTCCTACTCACATGTCTAAACAGCAGAGCCATCCACATCGAAGTGTTAGAGACCATGGATGCCAGCTCGTTCATCTGCGCCCTGAGGCGGTTCTTCTCCCTGCGCGGTCCCGCAACCGTACTTAGATGTGATCGYGGCACCAATTTCATTGGAGGGCAATCGGAACTACAGTCMTCTGACGAGAAGAAAATAGAGGAGTTCGTAACTCAACAGGGGTGTGAGTGGAAATTTAACCCCCCTCACGCCTCTCACTTCGGTGGTGTCTGGGAGCGCCAAATAGGAACTGTCCGACGAGTACTCGACGCTATGTTCGCYGAACTCGGRTACCAACAGCTAACCCRCGAGCTGCTTACSACTCTAATGTCTGAGGTSACGGGAATCGTCAATGYAAGACCCTTAGCAGCAATACCTACAGACTCAGACGATCCYCAACCGCTATCACCCCAAACSATCCTMACRATGAAGACACGCCCACTCGGCCCTCCGTGCACAGACATCCTACCGGCTGACCTRTACGCTCGCAGGAGATGGAGGCGYGCACAGTACCTCRCCGATMAGTTTTGGACACKCTGGAGGCGGGAATACCTGCAAAGTCTACAAGTGCGCAATAAGTGGACGAAGTCAAAGAGAAACCTCAGAGATGGCGATATCGTGCTTATTAAAGACCAGAATGCGCACCGTAACAACTGGCCGATGGGACGAGTGTCGGAAGCAGTAAAGAGTGAAGACGGTCTCGTGAGGAAGGCGCAAATCGTCACATGCAAGGGAGGAAGAACAAAGACCGTATACCGCCCTATCAAAGAGCTTGTGCTGCTTCTTCCGGTAGAAGAACAAGACTAGACAGAAGCCCTTATGGCTATGAACTTTGTTTTGAACACTGATTACTTAGATTATTATTTTGTAATTATAGCAAGTATCTATGCATGCAGATACTTGGGCGAGGAGTGTCATGTTTGGAGTGTTTGTCATCATCGTAATTTAATTGATTAAGTGTTTTTATAGTCCTTGCTTAGAACTTATTGCCTTACATTTCGCTTGTCATAGATTCAACCAATCATATACTTTGCCTATTGTATTAGAAATAGCTTGTTATAAGATACCCGGGCGTCGCCCCGGCCTTAGTTTTGCGGCTTYCGGAGTTTAGTTGGAGTTAGAAGTCATCGGAGTAAACACTAGTTCTTTGGAGTTCATACAAGTTTAGCAGAATATTTCAAGTTTTCTGAACTATTACACCGGAACAAACGTAAGTTACATCCTTTATTCTACTCA